GTGTCTCTTCGGTGCCTCCTGGGGGCCTCTTGGTGGCCTGGTGGCGGTCTCGAGGGACACTGAAAGGAGGGTTCCCAGGGCTCGAGTCCACCATTTTGGGTCCCTCTTGGGACCGTCTTGGGGGCTTCTGGGGCCCTCCTTGGGGGCTTGGGGGCTGTCTTGGGGCGATCTTTGGAGCCTCCTGGGCCGTTCTGGAAGCTTTTGACATCGAAACGCGAGAGTGCTAAACTAAGTTTGTGTTTGGTTTGCGTTTTAGTTTTTTGTTTTAACTAGAAAGCTAGAAGAACATTCTAGAACAAGATATGTTTGCCTCTTGGGTCAGCACCCCTTCGGCCTCCGCGACGGCCAGCACTCCCGAGTTCTCTGGAGAAGTCATGCGACGCACTTTGGGGAAACACAACCCAGTCAGGCCGATGACTGTATTTGCAAGACTCAGCATTGAGGATTTCGAGGGGCCTTCCATTCATTGCTTGCTGCACGCTGGCGGATTATCGGAATGCAGGACAGCCATTTGTTGCCAGGGTGAAGGGATGTCAAATACTTCTGGAAATTGCGTTTTCGCTGAGGACCTCACGTCCTCAACGTTTGCACGAGCGTGCCTTTTTCAAATTCTGGCTCCCGCGTGAGGCCTCACCACATGTCATGAGGTCCCTTGTGCATGACTTTTGCGTTTCATCTGCTGCGGTGTGTTTCAGGCGGAACCGTGGTGCGAAGATGACATTCTCTGGTTACGTGTTGACTGATCGCATGAGTGAAGTCTCCAACAGCTACAGCGATCAAGGGCGATTTATTTCCAAAATGCATGCCCCGCCTGAGGCCTCCGCTGGTGGTATGATCATAGCGATTGGACTGTCACAGCACTTGCACGGGTCGGGGTGGTTCTGTTTCAAGCCTGTGATTTTGTGCCGGTTCTTAGCGCAATGCGCTGCAGGGTTCTGCCAGGCATGGTTCCAGCGTGTGGTCTAAGCGGCACATTGGTGCAATGCATGCTGTACAATGCAAGGCACTGCAAAGCAGTGCAAAGCAATACGAGCATTTCAAGGCAGCTCAAGGCACACACGTATCTATATGTGTGTACGTGTATGTATGTGTGTATGTGTGTATGCATGTGTGCACGTACATCATACGTATGTATGTATGCATGTATGCATATATGCATGTATGCATTTGTGTATGTATGTATGTATGTATGCATGCATGCATGCATGCATGTATGTATGTATGTATGTATATGCATGTATCTATGTAGGTATGTATATATGTGTATATGTATGTATGTATGTATGCATGCATGCGTGCATGCATGCATGCATGCATGTATGTATGTATGTATGTATGTATGTATGTATGTATGTATATATGTATGTATGTATGTATGTATGTATGTATGTATGTATGTATGTATGTAAGCACGCATTTTGCATATGTGTGTATGCATGCATGCATGCATGCATGCATGTATCGATGTATGTATGCATACGTGCATGCATGCATGTAGATACGCATGTACGTATGTATGTATGTATTTATGTATGTATGTATGTATGTATGTATGTATGTATGTATGTATGTGTGGGCGTATGTGTGTGTATGTGTGTGTAGGTATGTATGTCTGTCTGTCTGCCTGTCTGTCTGTCTGTCTGCCTGTCTGTATGTATGTATGTATGCATGTCTGTGTCTGTATGTATGTATGTATGTATGCATGCATGCATGCATGCATGCATGCATATATGTATGTATGCATGTATGTATGTATGTGTGCATGTATGTATGTATGTATGTATGTATGTATGTATGTATGTATGTATGTATGTCTGTCTGTGTGTGTATGTATGTATGTATGTATGTATGTATGTATGTATGTATGTATGTCTGTATGTATGTATGTATGTATGTGTATGTATGTATGTATGTATGTATGTATGTATGTATGTATGTATGTATGTATGTATGTATGCATATAATAGATACAACCATAATCAAGAAGTATTCGTATGTAGTCTTGCCAAGGCCTTACAGCTGGTGCCGCCGACCCTGAATGGCGACGACGACGACGACGACGACGACGACGACGACGACGACGAGCGCTCTCGGGGTCCTCTTGGGAGGCCCCTGAGGCCACTTTGGAGTCTCGCGGGGGCCTCTTGGGGCTTCCTGGGGGCCTCTTGGGGGCCTCTTGGGGCCTCTTGGGGGGCTTCTTAGGGGCCTCTGGGGGCTTCCGGATAGCTTCTCAGGTCGAGGGCTCGAGATGTCCGTTCGGGCCCCCCGTCTGGGCTCCCTCTTGGAGCCGTCTTAGGGGCCTCTTCGGCTGTCTTGGAGGCCTCTTGGGCGGTCCTGGAGCCCTCTCGGGTCGTCTTTGGGCCCTCTTGGAGGCCTCTTGGGCCATCTTGGCGCGGTCTTGGGGGCCTCTTGGCCTGTCTTGGAACGTCGGGAAGCTGATGATTTTTGCCCTCTGGGGGCCCTCTTCGAAGTTCTCTTGGAGGCCTCTTGGGGCGTTTTGGAAACCTCTTGAGCCGTCTGAAGGCTACTTTGGCGACTTGGACCGATACTTCGGTGATTCCGGGCCCTCGAGGACCGTTTTGGGGGAATTTTTGGGCACTTTGCCGTGTCTTGGAGCTTTTCTGGGCCCTCGAACCGCCCGGGGGGGAGTCGTATCTGGGTGGCAATCCCCCCAGGACCCCCCTCGAGACCCCCCGCGGGACCTCCCCCTGGACCCCCCCCGCTCCCGGCTGGGAAGGGATCAAAGGGAAGGGGCTTCCCTTCGACTCAGCTGCAACGTTGTTCAACTTCGCTGTGGATGGCGCGCTCGAGGAGGACGGCCCGGTGAGAGTGGGGGGAGCGGCGGCGGGCCTAGGGAAAAGAGGGGGGGAGCGGCGAAGGCGACGACGACGACCACAACGACCACAACGACGACGACGATGACGACGACGAGTCAAACGGAACAGCCTCAAAAGTAGTGATCAACGTCGAAACACCGACAAAAAAACGCTCACTAGAATATCTCAAAACGTTGATCAAAACGTTTATCTGGTGGGCGAATCTGACCCAGCCATCTTGACATTACCGTTATGTCGGGCACGTCCCTCTACAGGAGGAATACCCAGAAGTAGTCAAAAAACAGTCCGGCGACGATCTCTTGAGCCTTTTTTGGTTACTCTTTCATGTATTATATATGTATGTATGTATATATATATATATATATATATGTTTTTTCGTCCAAAATGCCCCTGTAGGCGAACATAATTCAGCCATCTTGACATTACCGTTCTGTCGGGCACGTCCCTCTACACGAGGAGTACCCCAAAGTAGGCCAACAACAGTCCGGGGACGATCTTTTGAGCATCTTTCGGCCACTCTTCTCTTATATTAAAGATAGTGTCCTATATTTATAATATATGTGTATATATCTATATATGTATATGTATATGTATATGTGTATGTATGTATGTATGTATATATATATATATATATATATATATAGAAAATTCTTCGTCCAAAATCCCCCTGCAGGGGGACAGGCCCGACTCAGTAGTACCGTTCCTGCGCGCCTCGAGTGCAGCGGGGGCCCCGGCCGTGCAGGCGGCCAGAGAGGGGGGGCCCGCGCCTCTGCGGGGCGGGGTGCTCCCCCGCCGCGGCGGCAGGGCAAGGGCCCGCACTCGCCCGCGGGGAGGAGGGGGGCCCCTCGGGACGAGCGGGCACGCTGCAGCAGGTCGTCGTTTTCTTATCCTCCTCCTCCTCCTCCGCCTCCTCCTCCCCTCCTCCCTCCTCTCCCTGCTCCTCCTCCCTCCTTCTCCTCCTCCTCTCCCTCCTCCTCCCTCTCCCTCCTCCTCCTCCGCCTCCTCCTCCTCCCTCCTCCTCCTCCCCTCCTCCTCCTCCTCCCTCCTCCTCCTCCCTCCTCCTCCTCCCTCCTCCTCCTCCCCCTCCTCCTCCTCCTCCTCTCCCCCTCCTCCTCCTCCTCCTCTCTCCTCCTCGTCCTCCTCCATCTCCTTCTCCCCCTCCCCCCCTCCACCTCCTCCCTCGAGTCGTCGTTTTCTTATGCATTGTTTTGCCGATCGGCGTGGGCCCTCGCATCCCCCCCCTGTCCCCCCCCCCCCTCCTGGAGTAGATCTTGGCTGTCTCTGGGCGCCTGTTTCGAGTAGTGACCCGCTGCTGCAAACAGTCGCACTAGGCAGAGGTCCGGAGCCAGACCCCCCCCTTCCGCCCAATGTCGAAACTCCGAATAAAAAGCGCTCACCATCTGTGGCGTGTGCTATGATGTTCCAACCTGCTTCAGCCCGAATCACCATAACAAACATTCGAGCACCAAGAAGGCACCGAAACTCGACGGTTTTCACGTGTCGGGCCCTGGGAGACACTCGCTCGACACTGTTTCGACACCGTTTCGACACCGTTTCCACACCGTTTCGACACTCTTCCGGGTGCTCGAAATTGTCTGTGGGATGTGGTCCTTCAGTACGATCGCATCATCGGGCGTGTGCTGGGTTTTGCTCTGATCTCTCGTCCCTGCCCTTCCCTGCTTTTCCGCCTCGTGCTCTTCGTCCGCGCCCGCCGTGACCTCCTCGTCTTATGCTGCGCCCATCACAAGCAAAAACCAGAGCCCAGAGATACTTTCGAGCACCCCGAGCAGTATCGAAACAGTGTCGAGCGAGTATCGCCTCCCAGGGCCCGACACGTGGAAGCCCTCCAGTTTCGGTCCTCTCTTGGTGCTCGGAATTCTTTTCTGGTGATCAAGGCTAAAGTAGGTTGGAACATCATCATCCTCGTTCTCCCGCCAACACACACACATATATATATATCTATGTGTGCAGACAGACACCCTCCAGTGGATTGTTTCTGGACCACAGGGGAGGGTGCCCGTGTGTATGTCACCACTGAGAGCCAGCGACTTTTGTACCTCGCCGCCCTCCCTGAAGGTACATGCAAAGTTCGTCGGAGGGTGGCTGTGTATCTATTGTCGTGGCGTAGTGTTCCTTCTCTCTCTGGGACCTCGCGCGGCACAGGACAATCGGCCAGTGGTTGCCAGGGGTTGTGCAGGGCGTCCACGTCGTGACCAGCCCCAGCGGACGGGGTTGTAGAAAGATAGGTGGGCGGGAAGGGACGCAAAGACAGGAGTTCGATGCTCGTTTTGGGGACCTTCCCGGGGCCCACCTAACGGATCAGTTCGACTCCAGCGCGACTCCAGTTCGATTCAACTTCGATTCGAGTTCGACTCAGCTTCGACTCAGGTTAGACTTAGGTTCGACTCAGGTTCGACTCAGATTCGACTCAGGTTCGACTCGAGTCGACGGACGTTCGACGTAGCTTCGACGCACGAGTGGAGCGAGTGGTTGCAAGAAGGTCCCCAGAACGAGCATCCAAGAGTCGCAGGACCTTGCCGCTTACTGATGTCAGTGCGAGAGCCAGGCGTACAAGAACCTAGGCTTTGGTACAAGAGAAGCTGTGTTGGAGCAATGCCGAGTGCGGGCTAACTTGCCGCCGCCTGTTACCTACGTAATAATTCCTACGGATCCTCGCTGGCGCTCCCCTGTCGCGTTGTGGCGGTCGGATCGGACTCGAGCCGGCGATGTCCTGGATGGCCTAGGGGACAGGGAGAAGCGCGGGCTGGGTTTGGAAAGCCCTGCGAACGATGCTGGTTGTGCGGTTTGTCATACCTTGAAGAGGGTCTGATTGGCGTGGCGTGTGGACTTCCGTTCTCGTGCGGTGGCCAGGAGCTGGTGTGTTGCGCAAAGGGAGTGGCGCATGCAATCAACACTCGTCCCCTCAGTACAGCGGCCAGGCTGTGAGGGTTGTGTAAGATGTCGTAAGGGCTGGGCCGTGCCGGCAAAGCGCCGTCGAAAGCTTGCACCCAGGGCTGCCCTGCCATGTCGTGCTGAGCGTGCAGCGCCGCCTAAATATTGCACTTGTGCCGTGCTGTCCTGTGCCATGTTGCACGTGCCACACCGTCCCTTTGTGCCCACGACGCCTTCCATACGACCTGTGCTGTCCCGTGCTGTGCTGTGGCGGGCCGCGCGCTTCTGCCGTGATGTGCGGCCACCGGAACTCTGCACTTGTGCCATGTTGTGTTGTGGAGGACGATCAATGGAGAGGAAGCATATTGCCAAATCATTTCCACATGTCTAAAAGATACTCAAACCATGTTTTAGATATGTTAAAACATGCTTGAAACATTTGTAGAACATGTTTTACACATTTTAATCACATTTTTAACTCAATGATAGGATTGTCAGAGTGTCCATTGTCATGGCATCCACACATGTTGTGTTGCGCCTTGCCGTGCCGTGCCAGCTGTGCTGCTAGTTGCCGTGCACTGCTGTGCGTGCCGTGCCGTGCCGCAGGTGCCGTGCTGTGCCGTGCCGTGCCGCCGAGATCTTCCGCCCAGTCCGCATCCTGCAAGCCGTGTCTTGCGTTCCGTGCCGCCAGGGTTTTCTCGTGTGCCGTGTTGGGGCCGTGCCGCGTCTTTGGTGCCGCCGGCTGCGGGCACGCTCCGAGCCATCGAAGCTCGACACTCGGGCCGCTTGCCGTGCCGTGAAGTGACTGTCGTGCTGTGCTGTGCCATGCCGCCGTGTGCCGTGCCGTGCTCTGTTGCGGCGCCGTGCCGTGCACGCTGCACAGCCGAAGGGCTGCACTCCTCGTGCAGCGTGTGCTGTGCTGCCAAAGCCTTGCATTCTGCGGTGCCGTGCCGTGCACCTGAGCCGTTGGCGTTTCGGGTTTCATTGGCGGTGTCATGGTGGGACCGTTTAGGGGAGGGCGGGCGTCATGAGTCCTGGGGCTGTCCGCGGAGGAGTATTGGGTTCGTCTTGCGCTATCTCGAAGGCGGCCTGTGGCCGTCTTGGAGCCATCTTGGGAGTATCTCGGGCTGCGGGAGCCCCTGGGCTTTTCCCCGCCAGTGCCGAACTCTAGGAACGCTGGTGGTGCCCGTGCATAGGCTCACCCTGGAGCGCGTGGCGTTGCCGTTCTCGCTCAGAGGAGGAACAAGATACCGATACCGCTACGCCTCCATCGTTTTCGCCGATTCTGGCCTCCTGGGAGGCCCTCCTCGCTACCGCCAGATCGGCCTCGAAGTTCCAGGGAGTAGCGGCATCGGTACCTGTCGTCGACGGCGCGCCAGGGGGGAAGTGAGAAGGAGGAAGCCTTCTCAGAAGACGGCGGGGCCTCTCGCACTTTCTGATACGTTTTCTGGTGAATTTTCTGTGTCTCCTGCCTTCCTCAGAAGGCCGGGGGACTTGTGAGCCTTCTGAGAAGGCTCGCCCCTTCCCACTTCCCCCCAGGCTCGCCACCGATTTTGGTTTCCCCATGCCGAGACCTTCCCAGAAACTTCCCCGCACGGAGGGTGGGATTCGGGGGGTTGGCTTTTGGTGGTAGCCCATGGGAGCCTCCCATACCATCTTGGTCGCTCTTGCGAGTCGACGCCAGTCGACGCTGAATCGACGCTAATCGATGCTACATCGACGCTTATCGACGCTAGCCGACGCTAGAACAGCGCTATCTCATCGACTCTCAGACGCTAATCGGCGCTAATCGACGCTAAAGACGGAATGAATCAGGAGGGGAAAGACACAAACACAATTAATCGTCGATCCTTCGGGACATATGGGAATACATGCGAAATGGGGGGAAGACGAAAGTCCAGAACATATGAAAAATATGGGGAACATTGTTACCTGTGTGAATTTATTTGTGTGTCCCTGGGCCCTTTCAACTAAGATGGTCTGCCAGGCTCCCATGCTCTGCCACCGAAGGGCTGGCTGCTGGAGGGGCCGTTCCCTCTGGCCCCGCGCCTGCTCTCGAGTCTGTCGAGGACGTCTGCGGTGAAACACCGCCGTGCTCCTGCTTTTGGAGACGCCCGTGCGGCCAGAAGTTGTGCCGCAGTCTGGTGAAGCCAATGGACTGCGTGGAACCCCTTGGGGGAACGCTTGGGAGAGGAAGGGGACGGAGGACGAGGAGGAGGAGAAGGAGGAGAAGGAGGAGAAGGAGGAGGAGGAGGAGAAGGAGGAGGAGGAGGAGGAGGGGGAGGAGGGGGAGGAGGAGGAGGAGGAGGAGGAGGAGGAGGAGGAGGAGTCCTCTTGAGGCCCTTTTTGGGCCTCCTGGGAGCTTCATGGGAGACTCTTGGGGGCCTCTGAAGGGTCTCTTGGGGGCCTCCTGCGGCCTCTTGGGGGCCTCTTGGGGGCCTCTTGGGGGCCTCTTGGGGGCCTCTACGGGACCTCTTGCCTTCCGGAGGCCGTCATGGGGCCCTCTCTGGGTAGTCGTGGGTCCCCCTTCGGGCGCTTTATGGCGTTGTTGAAAGTCTACGGGGCCGGTTTTGAGCCGTCCCAGCTTGGGACCATCTTGAGCCGTCTTGCGGGCTTCTTTGGGGTCTCTTGGGGCGATCTCGTGGGTCAATGGGGCCGTCTTGGAGCGCGGAAGCCCAAAAAGGCCAGAACGCCAAAATCATTGAACCACCTATGGAAATCAATGATTTTGGCCTCCTGGAGGGCCTCATTGAGGTCCTCTCAGAGGCCTCTTGAGCGGTCTTTGGAGGCCTCTTGGGCCGTCTTTGGCCATCTGAGGCTGATTTGGGCCATCTTGTGGGCATCCCGGGCCGTCTCGGAAACATTTTGGGGACCATCTTGGGCTCTTGGGGCCATCTTAGCCGTCTTGGAGGCATCTTGGAGGCCACCTTGGACCATCTTGGCCGTCTTGGAGGCGAGTTTTTGCGGTTTCCCGGCCCTGTGGATCCTGGCCCAGCCCCAGCGGCCCGGGCCTGGGCCAGCCCAGCGTCCTCCCCAACGCCGTTTGCCTGCCGCGCGTCGTCGCGCAGTCCTCTCCGCTTGTTCCCCTCCCCAGCTCTCCCTGGCGTCCCGGCCTGAACTCCAGGAGGGCCCAAAGACCAGGGGTGGACCAAAACAGCGTTTTGCGTTTTGCGCTTTCGTTTTCGTTCTGAGGCGTTGCAGAACGAAGGCGGTCCGACCGATTGCCCCAGAGCAGCGTTTTGGCGTAAATCCGAACGCGCGATTGGCCAACGGTGGGCCCCATAATGAGGGCAAACACGAAGATTCTGAGATGCCTCTCTGGATTTCTCAGGGGAGCCTCTCCGGGGAGCCTCCGTCTGTCTCGTGCAGTCCTTGGGGCCCTCCTTTGGGGGGGCCTGCTGGCGGTCTCTCGCGAGCCATCTTGGGGAAAGGGGGCGCCCAGTGGCGCCCCATCGGGGGCGGGCGAGGGGGGGAAGCGAGAAGTCGGGCCTGTCCCCCTACAGGGGGAGTTTGGGCGAGCAAATAGAAATGCTCAAACATGATCGACCCACGAACCCGGAAAGGAATATAGAACTGTAACACATGGCAGCGTTTTCAAAGACACCTGATTGGGTGACGGGCAAATGCAATGCTGAGTGTATCGATCTTGATGTACCCTGCCAAGGGCTGTGCTGTGCTGCGCCGTGCTGAATTGCGATGTGCCATGGCGCGACTGCGCTCTATAGCGTCGTGGATCGAGTCCTCCTTTGCATCCGAGTCCTGACCGAACTGATCTGGATCTTAAGCTCGAGCTGCCTGAACACATAGTAGCTGCCCCAGAGCTAATGGACAGGGGAACATGCCAGGAGGACGCGCCGCGAAACGTCCCAAGGGATGCGCCAGGCGACGTGCCAGGGGACGCGCCATGGGGTCGCACCGTAGGACGTGCCAAAGGGACGCGCTACGGAACGTGCCAATGGATGTGCCACGGAATGTGCCAGGGGACGCGCCACGCGACGTGCCAGGGGGACTCGCCAAGGGACGCCCCACGGAACGTGCCAAGGAACGTGCCAAGTTGCAATGCTGAGTGTATCGATCTTGATGTACCCTGCCGAGGGCTGTGCTGTGCTGCACCGTGCTGAATTGCGATGTGCCATGCCGCGGTTGTGCTCTATAGCGTCGTGGATCGAGTCCTCCTTTGCATCCGAGTCCTGACCGAACTGATCTGGATCTTAAGCTCGAGCTGCCTGAACACATAGTAGCTGCCCCAGAGCTAATTGACAAGGGGAACATGCCAGGAGGACGCGCCGCGAAACGTCCCAAGGGATGCGCCAGGCGACGTGCCAGGGGACGTGCCATGGGGTCGCAACGCGGGACGTGCCAAGGGGACGCGCTACTGAACGTGCTGGGGACAAGCGTTTCGCTCGAGACATCCTATCACAATCATCCGAATTCCTACGCGCGGGACGCGGCACGCGCGAGACATCCTCGGAATTCCTGCGAGCGGGACACGAAAACAAACATTGCGCCTGAGATATCCTCTGAATTCTGGCCCCCCACGAGGCCCCCGCTCGAGACATCCCCCAATTTTGCAAAACCAGCGTTTCGCTCGAGACATCCTCAACAAATTACGAAAAACAAGCGTTTCGCTTGAGAAATCCTGTCGAAACCCAAAGAAATCAAAATTCCTGCGTGCGGGACGCGGCACGCGCGAGACATCCTCGGAATTCCTGCGCGAGAAGCGCTTTTCCGTGTCGCGGTCGGCTCTGCAAAACCAGCGTTTCGCTCGAGACATCCTTAACAAATTCTGAAACCAAGCGTTTCGCTCGAGACATCCCCAACTCTGCAAAACCAGCGTTTCGCTCGAGACATCCTCAACAAATTCTGAAAAACAAGCGTTTCGCTCGAGACATCCTCAAACATAATTTCGCCGGCCCTACTCCGTGCGTGCCCGCTCGCAAAATAATTTCGCCGGCCCAAGTCGCAGGGGGGCCGGGGGGTTAACCTACTAAAAGAGAACCCTGGGCCCGCGCCCTCTCCGGGAAAAAGAGTCCCAACATGTTCAAAAATAGTCAGACAGTTCCTAGACTATTTTTTAATACTATTTTTGAATATCCCTCCTGTAGAGGGACAGGCCCGACTTAAAGGAAACGAGAAGGCGACGGTCTCCCGAGCAGGGTTCGACACGGCATCACGCGCTTTTCTTCCTGGGGGCCTCTCGGGGGCTCTCTCTGGGAGCGCCTCTGAAGACCTCGAGCGCGAGTAGGCGAGCACCATAAGAGAAGCATGCTGTGTGAAGTCGGGCACGTTCTTGCACAGGGGGAATCTTCAAAACTAGTCAAACAATAGTCTGGGGACGATGTCTGATTCTTTTGACGACGTTCGACTATTTGTTTGGGCCTATTTTTGATCTTCCGTCACAAGTCCGCCTGTGGGGGGACATGCCCCGACCTAGACGCTGCATGCAGGGACTCTCCCCGGAACGCCTGCCTCTCGCGCTGGCCCCCCGGGCCTCCCGGGCGGCCCCACCCCCGAGAGGCCCCTCCCCGAGAGGCCCCCCCCACGAGAGAGCCCCAAGACGGTCCGCTTGCGGCCCTCGCGGAGCATGCTGGAGGCCGTGGCTCGCGGCCGCGCTGGCCCCCCGGTGGACAGACCTCCTACCCCGACGCGTCGATCCAGGAACTGGCCGTCTTCGGTTCGCGAGAGGGCGCCGCGGCCGCCATTTTTGCCGGTCCAGGTGAGTCGGTTTCGGTCCTGGGCCGCTCTCGCTAAGGGGAGGTTTACGAAAGCGAGGTTTCCCCCGGAGAGGCCCCGAGAGAGAGAGAGAGAGAGAGAGGCCCCCCCCGAGAGGCCCCTCCCCCCGAGAGAGAGAGGCCCCCCCCCCGAGAGGCTCCCCCCCCGAGAACAATTGCCGTGTCCACCGCCGAGAGAGGCCCCCCCCCCCCCCGAGGGCACCCCCACGAGAGCGCCCCGAGGCGGCCCCGCGCGGCCCTCGCCGAGCCGATGCGGAACGCCCCAGGGCCCCCGAGCCTCCAGGACGGCACCCGGGCCTCCCGCGCGCCCCCCCCCCCCCCCCCCCCGAGAGGGCCCCTCCCCGAGAGGCACTCCCCGAGAGGCCCCCCTGCGAGGCACCCGAGAGGCCCGCCCCCCAGGACAGAGCATCGCCTGGGGCTTGGATTTAGGATGCCCTGGCCAACTTCCTGGAAAGAGCTGGGTGAGGAGGAGGAGGAGGGAGGATGGGGCGGAGTGCGAGAGCGAATGGAACAGGGAAGGAGCTGCCGAGCTGCGGTACAAGCTAGACGTCCAGTCGGATGCGGACGCCAGCCGCATCATTCCGCGAATAGAAGGGTCACCTGGTTCAATCAATCGCGAGACAGGTGTGGGAGAGGGCATGTGCGCGTCGACAGGTCCAAAGGTTTTCGTAAGCATTTAGCATGGCCGTGTGTCACACCTCGGTATGTACATCACGTTCAGTGCGCCAGCGCATCCGTTTACGATGGCGAGCCCATGACAGGTGACGCGAGTGCAGTCGCGGGATCGGCTCAGGTTCATGCCGGTCCCCTTTCACCCATGGGCCCTATGGGTCTATCACCTCTGTTCCGCTTTTCCTCGTCCTCTTCTCATGCATGGAGAAATTCTTTCCAGCTGGGTAAAGCTCCTTCAGAGCAAGCATCGCTTGGGCAATCATATAATTAGATCCCTCCGTAGTGTCGCCTTCAACGCTCGTTTTGGCATTTTCTTCGGCTCTCGCTGCGCCGCCTTGGACCGTGACACGTTGTCTCGGGAAAGTTGGGGCCATCTTGCGTTGCCTTTGGCAGTTTTGGGCTCTGGATTCGAGGCCCAGGAGGCGCGAGGCAACAAAAAAAACAGCCATCAGGCAGGTCGTGGCCAGCTTCGACGCCAGCCCCACCGAGGCCCTCCGAGGGGAGGAAGAGGGTAGAGGGTGGAGGGTGAATGGGGAGGAGGACGAGGATGAGGCTGCGGAAGACCAACAAGAAGGCGGCTGTAGGAGGGGAGGGGGGGCGAAGGAGGGTGGGCGTGGACGTGGGGGTGAAGGGGCTGGGCGGCAAGGCTACGCACGGCGATGCGCTCTCGCACCCTGTCTGTCCGTCTTGCTGTTCACGCGCGCCGGGCCGTTGTGCTGCAATCCGACTTGCAGCTGGATCAATCGTAACCACTGGTGCGGTGCTGTGCGTTTCTGGTGCGCCTGCTGACTGAGAGGCAGGCGGCCCCGTTTCGGCCAAGCGGATCTCTTATCAGGTCAGCGGGGATCAGAAGCCGATGGGCTCAGGTCGTGCTGTGGGGGTTGCGGTCAGCCTCGGCTCGAAGTGGCCCAACGGCCGGTGTGCTGTTCGGGCGCAGTCTCTGGGGGCAGTTTTGGTGGGGGGCGTCGTGCAGAGGTGGGGTGCGGGCGCGGCGGTGGGCCGACGGTTCTCCCCAGGGGGCCTCCCACCTCGCTGGACCAGCGCGACTCCTGGCCGCCACCCTGCTTGTGGGCCTCGGGGCCGTTCTTGGCTCGAAAGTTGGTCGGGGGCAAGCTTGCACAGAGTCTCCAAGGCGTATCTTCAATGAAGGTAGGCCTGGAGGACGTGGGAGGATGAGGAGGAGGAGGAGGAGGAGGAGGAGGAGGAGGAGGAGGAGGAGGAGGAGGAGGAGGAGGAGGAGGAGGAGGAGGAGGAGGAGGAGGAGAAGGAGGAGGAGGAGGCGGAGGAGGAGAGGAGGAGGAGGAGGAGGAGGAGGAGGAGGAGGAGGGAGTCTTTCTCTGGGGCGCTGATCCCACCAGCAGGCCGTGAGCCGGCAGGCAATCCGCTCGCACGGCTCGAGGGCTGTGGCGTGCCTCGCGTGTGCTCGTGCACGTGCCCCGACAGAGCCCTCAGGCATCCCGAGCATCGCTGGGGTCGCGGCTCGTGCTCTCCCGATGTCAGGTCAGCGTCCGAGGGCGCGAGGAACGCGCCGCGCTTGTCGCTGCGCGAGGCGCGGTGAGTTCTGATCGATGCTCTCGCTGCCCCACCAACCGAAGAAGAACAACACGCCATATACGCGTCCACTTTTGGCGCTCCGTGCGGATGTTCTGGCTCCGCGCGGAGCGCCGGAAGCCTGTGCCTGTGGCGTTTTTCCTCCTCTTCGAGCCTGGCGCTGGAGAGAGTACGGTAGCAGCCACGCAGCCCCTGGCCAGGCCAGGACGCAGCTCGCCGAGCGCGTTCCACTACTCGCAGAGTGCCTGCTCGCAAAAGTCAGAGAAGACGCGTGTCTGCTTCGATGCAACTCATCGCAGAGCCTCCGCGGGGGATCAAGGGCCACTTGTGAGTACAGTGCCGTTTTTTACACATGCTGTATTAAACATGCAGGGATTTGGTATTAAAAACAGCGATGAGTTCATGCATCAACTTATTCGTAAATTAATGAGGTATTTAAAATCGTTTTTTTTTTTTTTTTTTTTTTTGTTTAATTTTTTTTATATTATTTTAAAAAGAAAGAACAAACAAACAAACAAAGAAATAATAAAAAACTGCTTTTAAACAACTGCCCTGTAGTCACTTGCCGAGCAGTGCAAGGCGCCTGCCTGGCAGCGGGAGCGCGGCGCAGTCCACGCTCCTGCGTGCCCCCCCCCGCCCCCGGAGGCCAGGCAGTGTGCCGGGCCGCCGGCGCCGACCGGGGAGGCGCAGAGGTTTGAGGAGGGAACAGACACACGCAGACACCAGACACAGAGAATCGTCGACTCTCAGGGACATGTGCAAAAATATGGGAAGTGGGGGGGGAAGACGAAAGTCCAAAAAATATCGGAAGGTATATGGGGAATCCTGTGATTTGTGTGTGCATCTGTTTGTGTGTCCCAGGGCCCCCTCAAGGTTGGCCGCAGAGTTGGCGCATGCAGTCAGAATCAGACATCAGAGATCACAAGGGCGACTGGGTTCCACCAGCCGCCCTCGCTCCGTGCACTCTTCCAGGGATGCCCTTGCATCCTCTTTCCCCCCTGCCTGTGAAAGAGTGTAGCGGAACATGCAAGGTGAAGCCGAGTGGGATTGCAGGCGCCAGTTCTGCTGACCCTCTCTGCCTGGTACGCAGGCTTTGTGGCAGGGGGTGCTCTACATCCGAAACGCCACGTGAGAGCAGCCACCGCTGTGCAACCCACAGGGTCAATGGGGGGGGGAAGCCTCGGGGATCCACAGGAAGCCAATCCACAGTGACCAGGACCGAGAAGATGGAGGAAAAAGAACGGGGGAACAGGATTGCCCGAGATCGGTTGCGAGGGCAAGTGTTCCTGGCCCAGGCTGCCACCTGCTCTGAGGCC